GAGTAGAGGATGCTGAGGATAGAGTTAGGTGGAAACAGATGATTCACTGTGGCGACCCCTAACGGGAACAGCCGGAAGAAGAAGAAGGGCTAGACACACCAAGTGACTTCACAGCAGCTGAGGCTCATGGGTAATGTGAAATTAATTTGACTTTACCTGTCTTCTCTGTGCAGGGAATTTTCAGAGACTATGACCTGGATAAGTCTGGTTGTATGAGCTCCTATGAGATGCGTCTGGCATTGGAAAATGGCGGTAAATGAAGCTAATGCTAGTTCATGCTAATGCTAAGTAACTGGCCCCGTTCAAGCCCATGAAACTGACCTGTAATTTGTCCTCAGGGTTCAAACTCAACAACAAGCTGTATCAGATGCTGGTGGCTCGATACGCCGACAACGAGCTCATCGACTTCGACAACTTCACCTGCTGCCTGATCAAACTGGAGACCATGTTCAGTACGTACACAGTCGTGGTGGTTGTTTCCAGCCTGGGAGTCACAGCAGCTTCATGGTTGTGCTACACATGTGCAGTGTTTCTGTGTCAAACCAGAAGCAGCACAAGCTTCTCTTGTATCAGTTCAGTGAGCATAATGCCTGAGTGGGTTCATTGTTTTCACACCGGCGTGTTGTGTTAGTGGATCGATTAATCTCTTAAGATTAATCTAGCCACAGGGGTTGCAAGCCAGTGACTTCTGTGTCGGTCCCAAGCCCGGATAAATAGAGAGGGTTGCGTCAGGAAGGGCATCCGGCGTAAAAACATGCCAAATTCAAACATGCGAATCATCAGTGCGAATTCCATACCGGATCGGTCGAGTCCCGGGTTAACAACGACCGCCACCAGTACTGTTGACCTACAGGGTGCTGGTGGAAATTGAACTACTGTTGGTCGAAGAAGGAGAAGAGGTAGAAGGATTCGTAGACAGAGAGAGAAGAGGAAAGGCAAGAGTATAAGTCTAAGAATAGGGACTTTCAACGTTGGCACAATGACAGGGAAAGGTAGAGAGCTGGCGGACATGACGGAAAAAAGGAAGGTAGATATACTGTGTGTGCAGGAGACCAGGTGGAAGGGTAGCAAAGCACATAGCATTGGAGGGGGATACAAACTGTTTTATTATGGTG